CCTAATGGGAATTCAAGAAGGTAACACAGTGAGAACAAGAGGGTAGAGACACGAAGCCTCAGAGTCAGGAAGCCCAGTGAGTCACAAGTAGGGGACCCAGAAGTGAGGCAAACATGCCTGACATGGCTTAAGGAAAATGCTGAACAAGGAAAACAAAGTCTTACCAGGAATCACAATTCACCCCGACAGTTATCTTTTCAACAGTAAAAATGGAATTCATACATAGTGAAATGTTTTTTTTCAAAATGGGAAGAGAACATCATTTTTTTACCCATCAAAACTACCTTTCAAGAACAAAAGCAAAATACATTTCTAAGCAAATAAAAACTAGGGACATTTACTATTAATAGAATCTTGATTAAGGAATTTATAAAGAATATGCATCGGGAATAGAGGGAAAAATTAGGAAAAAATCTGATATACAAAAAAGCAATGAGGAGGGAAACTGGTAAAACTGTGGGGAAATCTAAACATATTGACAACATAGTGTCAATGCCGAATTTGTGGATTTAAAAAAAAAATTAAAGCTATACCTCAATAAAACTACCACAAAACATCAAGGTAAAACATAAATCCTGGACTTTGAATCTTATATAAGAGAAAAGAGGTGGTTGAGTTAAAACACTTTAAGAGTACCAGGTTGCTTAGCTAACATGTAAAGACACTAATTTTGTCCTGTGTTAAGTTAAATATAAATATTACATTTTCTAATGTAAATACTTTAAAAAGAATATAATGTCTAATTTCTAAAATATTATAGAGAGAAACAGATTTAGGGAAAAAAAAGCAACAAAAAAAGACAAGGAAAACTATAAAAAATAAACAGAAAGAACAAACTGAAAGCATAAAAAGAGAGTGATAGAAAAGAATCCAAGTATAACAATAATCACAATCAGCAAACTAAACAATCTAGTTAAAAGAAAATGATTGTGAGACTGACAATCTGACATTTCAAACAAAGTTCAGGTATATTCTGTTCACCAGAGATTTACCTAAAAAGAAGGTTGAAATTTTTTTTAAAAATAAAAAAATAAAACCTGCCGAATTCACACTGTAAAGGTACTTGTGTTCCCAGTAGCCAGAGAGAAGCTTAATATAACAATCCCATCTTTGCTAAATTTGAAATAATTTGTACACACACACACACACACACACACACACACACACACACCTCAGTACGTCAGGGGTTGGGGGTGGGAGGGTAGAAGGGAAAGGTAAGGAGAGGAGAGGAAAAGGGGAGGGAGGAGAGTTGACAGGGAGGATGTGGTGTCTGCTTTTCTCCCTTGCCTGAAGGACTGACCAAGTTTAGGTCCTCTCCTGCCACAGGAAACCTCAGCGGTAAGGGGAACAGCCAGAGGCAATTTGAATTTAATGTCCTGAAAACTCCTAGGCTCTTTTGGGTCTTAAAATGCTTCACTTACCCTCTGAAACACATGTAGTAACTGATGGGTTAGTAGAGGAAAAGAAAATAAGAAAAATACCACCATGCTGCAACTCTATGTAAAAAAACATCATATTCATAGGCATCTAGTCAGTGAAGCATTTTAATGCCTAAATTCTCTTTCTTTTGAGGATAGGAAATTAGTTTCCACATTCATCAACAAGCATATCCTCTTATTTTCATAAGGACAATCTTGCCTTCCTTGAAGTTTGAACATTAATTTTACTAATTAATTAGGCTTGGGGGTGAGTTTTATAAGATTTTGAACCTTAAGCCAGCTTTGGGCTGCACATGGGCATTTATAACATTATTTATGATTTAATACATTAAATACTTATATAAGGAGTATTTAGGTTGTTTTAATTCTGATTTTCTCAAGAATATCAATAACAATTTAAACCACAAAAACTGTTTACAACTTTTTAAGCATACACACTGAGTAAAGGTTCACCTAAATTGCCAAGGAGTCTGCTTCTCCAACTATCCAGCTTTAGCATCTTTATTTAGATCATTCCCTTTATTAGAACCTGGCCGACTTGCTGTCAGATTACAGTGCCAAGTCTACAAGGTTAAATACCATGGACAGCTGCTTTCTAGGCCAATGACAGCCTTGCACGGTAGCAGATCAACGGGATCCCAGCAGTCAGGCCAGGCACTCAGCAAAATGTGCTTGGCTGTCCTGAAATTCAACTGCTTTACATCCTGCAAGATGCAAGTTTATTCCTAGTTAGCTATAATAGATTTTAAGAAGAGGGTCCTAGTCATTTATAAACTACCCTGAAAACAAGTCTATTAGTACAGATATTATTAAACCCCAGTCAATGTCCTCCTTATTTCATGTAAAATTCTACAAAAAACTTTCAGGACCAAAAAAAGTCATTTGGAGATTTCTTGGGAGTTTACAATAATACTTAAACTGCATATATTCACCACATGTAAACTAGGGCATGTGAATATTGTAATATGACAGATATTTTATGTCTCTATGGGGTATGACAGCCTGCTTAACTCAGTGATTTGTTGCAGTAAATTCAATCTTTAAGGAATGATTTATAATCTCAAATCTAAAGTAATTGATTCTGATTCATTTTCATTTAAGAACAGAACATAAAAGGTAAGGAACTAATATTTATTGAACAATCCATATTTGCCAAGGACTTTGTTAAACACTTAACAATAATGTCTCTTCATTTAATAGTTTCCCCAAACATATAAAGTAGGTATTATTACTCTCATTTTCTATATTAGGAGATTGAGGCTCAGACAGTTCAAATGATTTCTCCAAGGCCTCTGGGCTTATTATATGGCTAGGCTTAAAATCCTTTCCTCCCTGAGTTGAAGCTCCAGAGTCTCTCCACCATATACACTATACAACAAGTACTTGGGGCTGAAAGGGAAATAATATAGTGAACACATCTGGTGGTGGTGAGGAAGCATAAATAGGAGAAATAGTTATGAATATAACATGCTTTCTTTTTTGATTAGGGATGTCCAAAATTTCCAAATTAAAAAACAAACAGTATTGAGCATAGTGGAAAATTATGGATTGTGTATAACTGCTAAGGAATGTCAGTCTGAATTGCTGAGTAAATTATCAGAAAAATGACTCTACAGCAACCTAATTGAATAGTTAAAGATCTTGCCAGAACTACTTTAAAGAATGACATAGAATTGATTAAATACAGCCTGTAACCTCTATTTAAAAAGTTATTTCCCAAATTCATGAAACTGGCTCCCCACTCCCACTTCTACTAAAAACAAAACATAAAATCCTGCAATCCTGTATACACCACTGGATTGCTCTGCAAATTTCTTCCTCACAAATGTTGCTAATATAAGTTAATGAAATTCCACTGTAGTTAATAAATAAATAATGTTGGCAAATATTAAAAAAAAAAAAAAAAAAAAAAAAAAGAAATTCCACTGTAGTGTAATAAAACAAAAAAAGTACTGAGATCTCAAAAAGACTTTCTACTGTTGATGTGCCCAAGACATTTATAATACACCAAATCATGTCCTTGCCTCTAAAGTACATACCTTTCTTTGACAGCTGTTCAGTACTCTGATTGGAAAAAAAAAAACCAGACTACTTCTGCAAACCAGTTAAATGGGCTTTAGGAGAGGGTTTGAGGGATCTTCCTCTTGGTTACCAAGATAGAGAGAGGAAAGAGGCCCCAGGGATGGCCCTATCTTATGTCCTTATGGCACATCTGAATGCATATTTGCCAGATATTTTGCTAAATATTTGAGATGTTAGAAAAAAATGTTAGTACAAAACATGTCTCCTTTGCATGTAATAAACAGAAATAACTTCCATATTATTTCTTTCTATAATTTCTCCCTACATGTTCTTGTTTGTTTTATTTCCAGCACTTTGCTTCCATTTCATAGCTGCTACAAAAATGGTGGTCATTAAAAGTGACTATTATATAAATTTAGCTAAAATAATGATATATTTTTAAAAATTTCTTTTTGGAAAAATATCTTACCTCTTACGCAAGTATCTGTTTTGTACATAAAGGGGAATTTTCCCAGATGCTAGTAAGAAAGAATCTGTGTATGAATCTGGGTTTTTCTGTTTAAAATCATGTTCAGAGATGACATTCTTTGTTAGGAAATGAATCAAAGCTTCATTATAACACTACATAAAATTTTATTGACTCTGCTTATTCATTATTTTTTTTAATTTTACATTTTTGATAATCAATTTCTTAAGCACTTTACCAATCTGCTTTCCAACTAAGCAGTAGGATTGGCACTGTCATCATTAAAACTTCCTCAAATTCTGTAAAAATATGTTGAGTCACATTTCTTGTGGTATACAAAAAAGGGTCATTGCAATACAGACACAGGGCAGGGCTGTCTATTTGCTCTCTGGATGGTGAATGCTGATCAGATCCCCATCAAGTGATCTGAAATATTATCTATGGATCAAGAAAAATAACGGGTTTGGGGATGGGTTCAATGGGAAAGTGCTTGCCTAGCACGTGCAGGCCTTGGGTTTAACCCCAGCACTACAAAATAAAAATAAAATTTAAAAAGAAAAAAAAAAAACAGCCATGACCCCTCTAGTGACTATACTTGCTGGGCCCCAGGCTGCTGATTTGAAGGTACAACTTTGATGAAGCAAACTTTCTGCCCTAAACATTTTCAAAGAGATGCTTCTTGATGAATATCACCTGTCCATTTAAAAATCAAGAGCCCTACAATTTGTTAGGAACGTATACACTTTCCTATGAAAATTAAATCGCTCACAAAATCATTAAGCCTAGTTTCCTAAAAATAGAAGACAAGTAAACGCTGAGCTGGCTATGGGATGCTTACTTAACCTATATGTTCAAGTGTTTTTGCTGTGAAGCAAGTAGCTTAGGAACTTGGTAGACATTTAGAAGAATGCCAAGTTATTTTTTCTTACGCCACTGGTAGTCTGGATATCACAAAAATGCAGAATGCAATCTGCGATCCACTGCAACCACAAACACCATCACATTAAAAAAGTTGCAGATCTCAAAGACATAATTATGGTCAAGAAAAGCATTAAATAAATCCCATTACCAACCTTTGCTTGGGCCTCTGGTGCTGTCACCTTGACGACTTTATTGCGATTTATCATTTGCTTCACCCATGTTTCCACTTGGACGTTGAATTTCATGAAAACCACATAGCCAAAATAAGCTGTCAAGAGGAGCAAGCTTTCCCACCACATGATAAAATTATCCAGAAAAAATATAATCAGCATGATCAAGTCAACGATGTAGAAGGACACATCCCGAAAGAGCGGCCACCATGTCAGGTTTAGGATTTCTCTAGAAAACAGAGCACACATGCCAATAACGAAGAGGATATTGAACACTGCTGAACCTACAATCGTGCCTATGCCAACATTGCTGTGAGCAATGAACACCCCTATGAGAGAAGTGAAAAGTTCTGGGGCTGAACCGCCTGCAGCCATAAAGGTGGCTCCAGCCACATCATCGGAGATGCCCAGCTTCTCGGTGATGACGGTCAAAGAAGGAACAAAGAACTCATCACAGACAATGGCTAAGGCTATGAACATGTAGATCATTCCTATGACGTGGAGAATGATGGCGCCTTTTCTCCGATCCTCAAGGGAGAAGATGTCTCTCGGGTAGTCTCCTTGGGCATGGTCTGTGCTGTTCTCAGATGTGCCTTCCTGAGAAAGAGGTGGCTGTGGAGTGTAATCCTGAATCTTGTCATTTAAATCTAAGAGAGTTCTTTGAGGGTAACTGTGTGCTACCCTTGGGCCACTGACAACACTGGCTTCCCCTGTGCTCTGTGTGTCTGTCTCAGAAAAGGCACTGATTGAAAATGGGACAGTGCTAATGGCCACCAGGCCCATGAGGAGGCCTACAATTCGAATTAACTTCAGTTTTTTCCTGACGTTATAATGTCTCCTGTAGCCAGATGGTGATTGGTTGGAACACCATTTCTCAAGGAGTGTGACAGTGGTGCTTTGGTGCAAATCCATCCTGGGTCTTCTGGTGGATGTGGTGGTCTTCAAAACTTTAAACTCTCCCAGATGTTTGTCATACTTTTCTTTACTTTTATAGTTAATGGTACTTGTGGGGCACTTCCACAATCAGGGAGTCTTAGGTTTCACAAGAAGTTTTCATCATTTATGCTTAAATTAAAAAAAAAAGATAAGTATATTATAAAACCTTGTCTTAAAAAAAAAAGAACTTTGCAGATCTGATAAAACCCTGTCTGGCAGTATATGATCATGGATAAATTACTAATTCCTCTGTGCCTTAGTTTCCTCATTATAATTATAGCTTCAATAACTCGTAATGGTTTTTATTTTTATTTATTTATTTATTATTATTTTTTTTGTGATGCTTGGGAGGAAAGCCAGGACCTCCTATATGCTAGGCCAGTGCTCTAACACTGAGCTACATCCCCAGCCCCATGGGATTGCTTTAGGAAGAGTTAAAAAAATACATAGCACTTAGAATAGAAAGTGTCACATAGTAGGCACTTATTTGGGTTTATGTAAGCATGAACCCAAATAAACATTTTGGTAAATCGGTTGTTAGGAGACATAAGTATAAAATGGAGACAGAAGTATAAACATTTTATACATGGAAATTAATTTATTCACCTTAAATCATGTAACAAATAACATCTAATAGTAAAAAGATCAGACTTCTTTCAGAACTATCTAGGTTCTTGTCAACTGACAATTATTCACTGTATTTTCTTCTAGTCCAATTACATAATTCCCTCTTATAGGTACATTTCCTGATTTAATCTATCATCTGGAGAGGGTTGTGTTTGGGAGAAGGTAATACTCTTTTCGTGCATACATAATGATCACAGGATCTTGTTTTTCACGAAAAGTCTCTTCTATATCAGATATAGAAAAGTAGCCCTTTAAGATTTTAAGCAATGTTTTGGTGACATGAACAAGCTGTTTTCTTAAAACGTCTAGATATGGTTTACAGATAAAGCTTTCTTTTTTTTTTTTAAAAGCAACCTTTAGTGGTATTTAAAATAGCCTAATCAAACAAATCCCAACGCAGTGAAATAACAAGTAGGCTATTTTGAGAGACCAAATGTGTGTTTCATAAACAACATGCAAGTTGCAGCAATACCTCCATCCAAAAAAATCTGCCACAAATAATTCCAACACCGACCCTGTAATAGGTTAGATATCCGACTCAAGAGTTTGTATTCTCTATTCCACTAAAGAGATGGGTAAAATACCTGGATACAATCACTAATATACTGAAGGTTCCTCTTTATTTTAAAAAGCAGTACCCCCACCCCTCATCAACGATTTAATTTTAGAGGTATTCCCTGAGATCATCTCAGGTGTAAAATAAGATAATTAAACACACGCCACATAAACACTGGGATTAGCTGGAGCTCAGATTTTTAAAGCAGAGCAAAAGTACAAGTCAATCCAGGTTGACTTGCTGCTCCTCCTGAGATAACCCGAACCCGTCAGATTCCAGGCTAGCTGCGGTTGTGGATGCTTAGCACCAATGATTAAGCGACTCACAGCGCTTCAGGGATTGTCACAATACCCGGCCCGGGCTACCGGCAGAGACTGACTCAACTCCAGGGGCGCACGATCAGCTCTAGCCTCTCTGGGCTTTCCCTGCAAACCCACCGCTCAGCTCGCTGGGATCTATCCACAGGCGAAGTGAGCCCCCAGCCGTGCCCCAACTTTGCCTTGCATGGTCCCAAACTTTCCCTGGTGGGTTAATAGGAAAATAAAACTAAAGGGCAGACGCTCCACTTGCAAACCGGGAGATGCATTTTGGAGTGGCTCCTGACCCGCATCTCTCCGGGTTGTTTGTGGGTGGATGGGAAGCAGGAGCGTCCCTTTGCGCATTTTCCCCCAAGGCAGGCCCTACCAGGTGCCCCCAACTGGAATCAGAGGATGGGAAAAGCAGGGGGCTCGGAAACCACGCCCCGGAGCGGAGAGAGTTGGCTAACTCCTAGCCGGGCCTGGGGCGCCCACATCCACCGCAGAGCCACCTGTGAGCCCGCGGCGAGGCAGAGGGATGCGCGCAATGGGGATCCGGGGACCACCACCGCGGCCACCGCGGCTGGAGGCTGGCAGGGCGCTGCCGCCCGCACTTACCGGGATCGGTTTGGAGCACTCCCACAAGCCGGGGGCAGAGCGCGCGGCCCGCCTCACCGGTCCGCCGCCTCTTCTGGTCCTCCACCTAGCCTCTCCGAGGCCCGGGCTCCAGCTCGCTCTGGTAGCCGCTCTTGGCAGCCGTGGCTGGCCTCGCGACGAGACTGAGCCGCGGCGAGCCGGGCGCTAGGCGTCTGGCACTGCCGGCCCCCTGCGGCCCCTCCCTCTCGGCCGTGCGGCTGGAGCCGGGCCTCAGCGCGCTCAGCTCCCTCCCGAGTCCCTGCTCCACGCCTCCTGGGCGCAGAGGCGACGCCCGCAGCCGTCTCTTAGGAGATTTCTCCGCAGTGGGGACGGGGGTCAGGATTAGCAGGCAAGCAAGGGCAAAGAGGAGAGATCATTTGGTCGGTGACGCGCGCCTGATTCCCAAAGCCTGAAAGTGCTGTCAACTTTGGGGTCATCTGTGCTGGGCACCTCCTCTCCAGTTATCTGCAAAAATATGATACGAGTCGGGTCTGTCTTTAGGAGGCGATGTAATATGTAATGGTGGGAAAGATGCCCATTAAAAAAGCACAGAGGCTGTAGTGCAGGATATTTGGGTCCAGGTTGTCTGGAGGCTTAGGTTTGGATAGTTGGGACACTGAAAGGTCTTTATTACGTGCATGATGAGACTAAGAGGCAAGACATGGTGTCATTTTGAGTCACTGAGAGGGTTCAGATTTTGCCTCTGGACTCCCAGCCTAGTGCTCTTTCCTGCCCTGTCTGGACAGCAAGATCCCCTTGAGTCTGTCTTGCTGGGGATTAGAGGCAGGAATTTGGGCCAAAGAGTGGTAGAGCATGATACACACCTGCTGCTGAGGGAAACCCCTTTTACCCAGCCCTGGGAAGTAATGCTCACTGCCTGAAGATTTTGAGGCTTCTGTGCACTGTGCCCACTGTCTTTGCCCTCCGTCCTTCTACTCACATCAAAGTAGGTTTCTTTAGGGGGCTCAGCTCAGGCTGAGGTGACATCAGTTAAAATCCCCAAACTCACTACCACTATCCTCAGACCTGTGGGCTTGCTAAATCGAGGGAAGCCTTAGAAACTTAGAACTTGAGATTAAGCATTCAATAGTATGGTTTTGCAATGGATTTCAAAATCCTAGAAGTCATAGGCCAAACTTTTGTATCTTTAGTTTGGAAAATTTCGAACTTATTCAAATATTAGAAAATATAATGAACCTTTATGGGGCCATGGTAACCTTGCAAAATTATCAACTCGTGGTCGACTGTATTTTATACCTATCCCTGTGCCAACACCTTGAAACAAATCTCAGACGTCATTATTTTACTGAAAGACGTCAAATATTTATGGAAAGCACCAGAGCTATCAACTACTATTAGCAGTGTATCAAAAAGAAACCATCCAACTAGGCTCCCATTGATCAAAGATGGGCCAATTCAAGCATCAAAGATAATTACAATCGTTTCAAACACATCAAATCTTATAAGTTCATAGTTTTCCCCCAAACAACTCAACAGATTGATAACTGTTAATGGTGAAGAAGGAACCAACTCATTGGTTTCAGAAAAAAGAAAACAAATCAGGCATTTATTCTGCCTTTTGTATACAAACTAGACTTGAGGGCAATCAATTAGGTTTTACTTAAGTTACCCTTCCTCTGTCTTTCCTTTCCTGGTTTAACAATCCTAATCCTTTAAGGCAATAGATGCTTCTGAATACATAGGGAAAGAGTGGAGGTATATTGTACCAGGTTCTGCTTAAAATACAACTATTATTATATATTTTCATGGGTTTTGTTGTTGTTGTTGTTGTTGTTCTCAACTACATCAAACCTTCTCTTACCAAGATCTTTATGAATGTCATTCTGCTCATTCCCACCACTGCCCTGAGATGACTCTGCATCATTTTGTGGAAAAGAGAATGAGACCCAGTAAAGACCTCATGAATCTGCAGGTTGTATTGGTTGGAATTTGCACTTGGCTGCTTATAGTCACCTTCTAGAAAATTAAAGTTCTCTTAATCACAGAGAAGGGAGAAATAAATGTTGAATGAGCAACTAATATTATTCATACAGTTTCAAAGCATCTCAGTGAGATCTACAATGGACTGAAGATTTTGCAGTTGATCAAGAACTTGGCAATCAACTTCCATGACTGTTGAGAGGGTTGGAGCGATCATCCCTGTAGTAAAGGAGAGACACATGGCTTGGCATCTACCCAACTCACATGCCATGGAAGAACAACTGAGTAGCTGATATAGGTCTCCCAGATCCACAGAACTTATGGCCTGATCATGAAGAAAAGGGAACTTCATGGGAAAATTTGCTAACACCACAGATGAGTAAAACAGTAACAGTGACCAACTCCTCCCTAACAGATTCAATGGTGCAAGCATTGGGCCTCTTTGTATGAATTATTAAAGAGCCACCTCTTTAGCTTTTTTCTAAATAAGGTTGCTGTATGAGTATCAACATTAGTAGCATTATACTTACCTTCTATAAAATGGATGATTTGTTTGAACTTAGAGTTTATGAGAGTTATTGGTAATTATCAGTTAAGAATGCTAGGCTCTTTCCATAATTCTGGAGAGGATTTTCAAAACTCAATAGCTTTAAAAATCATGGGATCACACTTAAGCTAATAAAGAGTTATAATAATGATTAGCAATTTTTTATTGCTTTTGATTTGACAGTTGGTCTAAAAGAAAAGGCAAACTAGTAAATTATGACGAGGGGAAGGTAAAAGAGAGTCAGCTGAATCAGGATGTTGTGGGCAATTTAGGAACAAGATGAAGTGTTCAGATTTTACTTTTTCAGTTTAACCACCTCTTTCTTCATTCATATATGTGGATATATCACCTTTCTTTCTGTCTTTCATATTAGTCTCTAGCCTCTCTGTTATCAAAATCTGCAGGCAATCAGGATACATGCAAAGCATTCAGTATGTATGAAAGTACTAGTTGTCAACCTTGATGCTAGCTAAATTTGTGAACCAAATGGGGATATTTTTTAATAGTCCTGACCACAACCCTAACTCTTCCTGTTATGAGCACCTTGATGTCAAGAAGAAGTACATGCATTTTCAGCATTTGGCACAATGCTTGGCCCTACATGTTCTTATGCCCATACCAAACTTTATCCAGCTCTATTTCTTTAATGAAATGAAATCCATAGGTATATACTTAATTTAAAAGATAAATAAAATTAATGAATTAATAAGATGCTAGCAAATGTTACTTAAAGTCAATCGGGAGTCTGTAGGTTAGTCTGTGGTAATAGAAAGCTGAAAAGTCACAGTGGTTTAAACAATAAAGAGTTCTGTTTCTTTCTTATACTTCCTGTCCTTCGTGAATATTGTTGGTATTCTCACTCTGGACTCCAAGCTGGTTATTATTTGGAACATTTCTAGTTACCATCATATAAAAGGTACATAGCAAATATTTTTTCTTTAAAAAAGTTTTAATAAATTTTATTGAGATGTAATTAACCACAAGAAAATGAAAGTATTTTAAACTTTTATTTGAATGATTTTTGACAAATATATGTATATATCTTTCAAATCACCAGAAGAAGAAAAAGATTTTTATTTGCAATGGTTAAAAAAGTTGCCTATTGCTTCACTGCAGTTCATTCTGACATCTGTTTTCCCAAGTTCCTCTGATCTGCTTTCTTTCACTATAATACTTTTTCTCTTTTCTAGAATTTTGTGTAAATGAAATCATGAGGTGATATTCTGTTCTGGAAGGAGGCACAACTTTTTTTCTTTAGCATAATATCATGGAGACTCATACATGTTCTTATGCCCATACCAAACTTTGTCCAGCTCTATTTCTTTAATGAAATGAAATCCATAGGTATATACTTAATTTAAAAGATAAATAAAATTAATTTTATAAAGAGATATCATATGTACTACAATGTAAAGGTACAGGTATGTGTAAGACACTAAGATAGTTCAATATTTGAACCTGTAACAGAAATGATAAATTAATACATTTAGCACTGTAATTCCTGTAATATTATTCCTGGAAAGGTTATTTGGCCTAAAATTTAAAATTTTAATACTATTTATAGCTATTTCAGTTTGAATTTGAGTAAAGCTAGCATTGTCTATAATTTTTTTTTTGGCTTTCATCTATGTGTATCTTACATTTTAGGTGTATTTCTTATATTCAACATATAGTTGGGTATTATATTTTTATCTAATCTGAGTTTTTTTTTTAATTGGTTCTTCTTAGTTATACATGACAGTAGAATCTGTTTTGATAAAATTATACAAGTATGGAGCAAATCTTGTATGCTTTTAAAGTTCAGCTTGGAAGCGAGGCATCACTGTAGCTTAGCTCTCATTGGCTGAAACAAATCACATGACCACGTCTATATTTAAGGGAGTAAAAATGCAACTGCTTTTGTGCTTGGGAGAAGAATGGAAAGATCTGGTGGCCAACACCAATGACTACCACAATGAGCAACAAAAGAAGAAAAGGGAACTAAAGAATTTTTCACTAGGAAAAAAGATTTCACTTTTCTCTTTTCAATGTCATGAGCTTTTTCCACAATTATTTGATTATTCCCATCTTCCAGATGAGGAACTGGGGCTCTGAGAGGTTAAGTAGCTTGCCCAATACGAGACAGCTCTCACTAGAACCCAGGATTGGTTCCAAACCCTGGATTCTTTATATTATTTCTCACCAAATTTGATTGAGGTATTTACTCCCTCCCTAATTACTAGTTGCATTTTGCTATTGAGATTACATTCTTAGGTGGTTCCTATGACTTGCTTCTACTGGTAGCTGATCTACACCTAGAATAACTCTTCCTAAAAGCAACTGCTTTGCTTATTTAAAAACCACAAGTGTAAATATCAAAATAAAATTCTGGGGTTCTATAAAAATGTTCTTCACAGGCTTCCAAACCTGGGCTGACATTATTTTCTCTTGCATTTGGCTCATTCCTTTTGGACAGTGGCTTTTTCCTTCCAGTTCAATAAGAAGCATAAAAGCAGAAAAAAAAATCTGTGAGGCTGAGGGACAATAAGTACAGGCTTTCTTTGCTCTTGACAGTGGTTTTTCAAACAGTACTTAAAGCCACATACACAAATTATTGCTTTTTTCTTTTTCTTATCTATTTATAAGATGAGAAGCAATGAATATCTATTATTTTTACACTAGGAACAGGAATTTCTTTGGACTTTAATGCCCAGGAAGCACAAATCTTAAGCTCCTCCTTGCAATATCAGCTCAGCCTCATTGCTCCTGAGT